GGTGCAGGAGGCGGCTGATGGATGTTTCTCTCTCATCGATGTTTCTGACTCGCTATCTCTCTCCCTTCCTCTCCTCTCTGTAAAAAATCAATAAAATATATTTAAAAAAAAATAAAAGTTTGAGGACCTCTGGCCTAGGAGATATATCCATAAACATATTGCTGCAAGAGATGTCTGAGATTTTGCTGCCTATGGTTTCTTCTAGCATTTTTATGGTTTTACATTTATGACTTTTTATTGTTTTTGGGTTTATTTTTGTGTATGGTGTAAGTTGTTTGTCTAGTTTCACTTTTTTGCATGTATCTATCCCATGTTCCTAACACCATTTATTGGAGAGATTGTCTTGACACCATTGTATGTTCTTACCTCCTTTGTCAAAAATTAATTGAGCATAATGGCTTGGGTCGATTTCTGGCATCTCTGTTTTGTTCCATTAATCTATATGCCTATTCTTGTGCCATTAACAGGCTGTTTTGATTACAGTCACTTTGTAGTATAATTTGATATCTGATATTGTGATCCCTCCAACTTTGTTCTTCTTTCTCAAGATTGCTGAAGGTATTCCGGGTCTTTTTTTAATTCCATATAAAATTTTGGAGAGTTTATTTTAGGTCTGTGAATTATGCCGTTAGTATTTTAATAGGGATTTCATTGAATCTGTAGATTGCTTTGAGTAGTATAAACATTTTAGTGCTGTTAATTCTACCAGTCCATTAACACAGTATATTCTTTAAATTGTTTATATCTTTCTCTATCTCTTTTTTCCATGTCCTGTAGTTTTCAGAATACAGGTCTTTTACCTCCTTGGTTAAGTTTATTCCTAGGTATCTTAATTTTCTTTTTTGCACTGGTAAATGAGTTTTTGTTTGTTTGTTTAGTTTCTCTTTCTGTGAGTTCTTTATTGGTGTATAGAAATGCCATAGGTTTCTGAGGGGTAAGTTTGTATCCTTCTACATTGCTGAATTCATTTGTTAAATCTAGTAGTTTTTTGGTGGAGTCATTAGGGTTTTCTATGTACAATATCATGTCATCTGCAAATAATGAGAGTTTTAGTTCCTCTTTTCCAATTGAGATGCCTTTTATTTCTTCTTGTCTGATCACTATGGCCAGTACTCCCGGTGCTATGTTGAATAAGAATGGTGAAAGTGGGCATCCCTATCTTGTTCCTGTTCTTAGGGGAAATGGTTTTAGTTTTTGCCCATTGAGTATGATGTTGGCTGTAGGCTTGTCATATAACGCTTTTACTATATTGAAGTATGATCCCCTCCATTCCCACTTTACTGACAGTTTTTATCAAAAACGGATGTTGGGTTTTGTCGAATGCTTTTTATGCATCAATTTTTATTGCAAGATTTTTGTCTTGCAATCTGTTAATGTGCTGCATCACATTTATTGATTTGAGGATATTGTACTGTTGAAATGTCCCCCGCAAATCACACAAGGATGTGCAAGAAGTCGAATTAAGGAGTCACATTTATTGCAAATCCGGGACTACAAGGGGGCCATGCACTCCAAATCTCGCAGTAATTACCTAGCCCCAACACCAGATTTATATAGGCAAAAATCACAAAGGTATTGATTACATTTCAGGGTTTGAAATGAGGAACCTGGTTTACAAAAAAGCAGTTTACAGAAGCAGAATTGAGCAAGTTAGTTAAATTATAGTTTTGGGTCTACAGATCACTGAATCAACGGAAACGCATTGCCTGGAGCCATGGGTCTTAGGACCACTGAGTTGACAGGAACATGTTATCTGGAGCCACTGAGGCAATTTAGAGTAATTGTGCAGTCCTGGTCTTGGGACCACTGAGTTAACCACAACAAATTATCTGTAGCCACTGAAGCAATTTAGGATAATTGTGCTGTTCTGGTTCCCAGGTACAGAAGAATGTGCTTTCACAACCAATGGGATATTCAAACCACCACCAGCGGAGGATTCAATCAATTGGGGTAGCATACATAAGTTCAGAAAATCAAAGTAACTTTTCTATTGTTAAACAAAGCAAATAAGTACAGAAGCCAAACAGCAGGGTTAAAGTTAAACTACAGTTTCTACCTGAGATGATTGCTACCATACTTGAGTACCAGTTTTGCATCACTAGAATAAATCCCACTTGGTCATGGTGTATGAACTTTTTCAGGTATTGCCGGATGCAGTTTGCTAATATTTTGTTGAAGATTTTAGCATCTATGTTCATCAGGGATATTGGCCTGTAATTATCTTTCTTTGTAGTGTCTTTATCTGATTTGGGATTAGAGTAATGCTGGC